TGCCTGGCTAGTTCTGTTTCTTCTAGAAGTTTGTGGGTCTTTATCTGAAGCCCTATCCTGGGTGTCAGAAGGGTGGCCCTCTGGATGGCTAGGACGCCCAGGGTCTGGCTAATCTTGGAGGTGACTACCAAGGCAGATTTTCTCAGCGCAGCAAGAGACGTTTCGACCCACCAGCAAAATAACTGGTCAAGTTTTACGTCTGCCAATGAAGCTATTTATCATGACATGCTACTGGTTTAGAACGTTAATTCTGTTGTATTTCATCAGCACTGTAAATGAGATCCATAAATGAATAGAGATGGGATTTTCAGATTTCCTGGACTACAAACACCATCATTCTCTACTCTGGGAGTTCTGCCTATCTTGCAGGCACCTTATAAACACCTAGGAGGAAAGCCTTAGATTAGAAGGCTTTGAGTCTGAGCCGAGTCTGAGCTAGGCCTAGCTTCCTGATTAGAAAGGAAGCTCACGGCCTAGACAGGAAGTGCGGGCATTGCTAGGCCGGGAGCTTCCTTTCTAATCAGGAAGTTAGGCCTAGCTTAGCCTCAAAGCCTTCTGATTTTGGCCTTTCTCTCGGTTACCTCACATTGCAGTGTTTGTAAGCGATTTGGAAGTCAAGTAGAACTCCCAAAATGGAGAATTATGGTGCTGGTAGTCCAGAAAATCTGAAAATTCTGTCCCCAGAAAAGGGTGCCTTGACGTTTCTTCGAGGGCTTGCGGCCTGCAAAGCAGCGGGCAGCCCTCGCTCCACGCCCCGACGCAGTTCTTTCCAGAAGCCTTAACGATGACAGTGGCAACATTTTTCATCTTTCCGACATTCTCATTAATAAAGCAATGATCCACGCGCAGCTTTGCTGAGTCGGTCCTTTATGCCTCCATCACTCACTACTGAGATAATTTCACAGAGGATCGTTTTTAAATTAAATGACGATAAAGACGTGCCGGGCTGTTTTTCGGTGTTCGCCAGTTCATGGAAGTCTATCAAATCATTAATGCCTCGTGACAAACCCCTCGACAGGAAGAGGAGTAATTAATTATTTGCCTAAATAATGATGCAGACCTGGCTCTTTGGGGCTTGTCCTTGTAGTTTCTTGATTGAAAGGGGGGGAAGAGTCTCTCAGACCACTCATTTTTTAAAAAATGACTGAGTCCATTGGCTGGATAGCTTAGTGGTTAAGTATCTGGCTGGGGAGCCAGAGGTTGTGAGTTCGAATCCCCTCTGTGTCTCCTGGGAGAAGAGCCAGCCTGGGTAGCCTTGGGCAAGCTGCACAGTCCCAAGGTTGCCCCTAGAGGAAGGGAAGGGTAATACACCTCTGAGTCTTCTCTATCTGGATAACCCAGAAAAGGGTCTTAATATGTCAGAATTGACTCGATGCAACTTGATGATGATGGTATTGGTCCCAAGCCAGAAGCTTTCCATAAGATAGGGCTCCTCCCTTTTCATCAACAGATGCTGGAACTATGTACTCTCTAGGCCAAACAGATAGAACATTCTTCATCATTAAAATGCCACTACATATGTGTCCGTTATTATTTGTTATTTAAACATGGTACAGTCCAGGAAATCATCTGCCAGTTCACATAGACAAAAGCTAGATACGTATAGCATTCATGATGATGATGATGATGATGATGATGATGCATTTTTTTCATTATATTTTATATCTGCTGTATATACTGTGAACAAATGTTCATTATATATCTGCTGTATATACTGTGAACAAATGTGCGTGGCGGTCCACCTCCAATATTATCCTCATGCTAATACAAGGAGGTGGATAAAAGACCTATGAGAGCCGAGATCTGTGCATTTCAGAGCTCATTAGAGATTAGACCCTGGATCGTCGAAATCCTAGCCCAGCAACTAATTGCTACATCACAGTGGCTTTTCAAAGGCTGTCTTGGAAGCTTCTGTCGCTCAAGAAGGTCAAAGGAGGCCAGTGGGGCATCGAGATGGGTAGAGTTCCATGGAAGCTTGGAGACCTCTCATGGCCCGGCCTCTTACCTTGTTGTAGAGGGAGACCTAAGCCCCTGCAGGCCCAATTCTTCTGGGTTTTGAAAGAGAAAATCAAAACAGAAGTGTTGGTGGGGATTTGGGAGAGGCGCGAAGGTCTTCTGAAAAGGCCATGAAGGGACTCGTGTGGCCAAAGCAGAAACATTTCTGCTCCTTTTTTTGGAAGAGCTTTTCTGAGCATTCCTGAGTCGGAGGAACCGACTGAAGAAGTCTTACTGAGTCATAAGAAATAGTTGCGTGCAATTTTCGTAATCGTTGTGAAACGTTGTGCGCCTATAGAATTGTAGAACGATTGGGCAATCCAGTTTTCTCTTGAAGACCTCCAGCGTTGGAGCCCTCAACCAAATGTGATTGGTTCCATTGTGGTACTGCTCTAACAGTTAGGAAGTTTTTCCTGATATTCAGCCTAAATCAGGTTTCATGTCGCTTGAGCCCATTAGGATGTGTCCTGTACTCTGGGATGGTCAAGAACAGATCCTGCCCTTCCTCTATACCACTAACTTTCAAGTATTTGAAAAATGCTATCCCCACAGTCTTCTTTTCTTAAGGCTAAGAAAATAACAATACCTGATCTGGCCCATAAATAACAACAGCGAATATGGGTGGTTTGAATGCTCCCTCTTCCTCTTTCTGTTGTTTGATTTCCTTTTGGGCAGATGCATATGTATCTGTTACATACAGCACTGATGTTACCTGTCTGTCATGGGTTTGGAGGGAAAGTTCCATCCTATGGGGAGTGGAAGGCGGGACATCAGGAGGAGGGGCTGTACTGTATAAATATGTGATGCGTGTGTGGAGAAGCTAAGCAGACGAAGCAGCAGCTGGGATGATTTGACAGTAGGAGGTAGAAGTGGATGATCTGGTAAAGCTGAGGAGAGAGAAAAGGGGAAGAGAAAGCAGGGATCAAAGCGATCCTGCAGCACTTTGATCCCTTTCCCCCTACACTTGCTAAGCCCCACTTAGATTTCTTAATTTTGGATTAGAAAAGTGTGGGCGTCTTATACACAGAAAAAATACGGTAATTAAAAAAACCCTTTTGAACAGTCTGTGAAAAACAGAAACTTAAGTTCCAGCAACTTGAACCGGCAGTGGTGGGGGCAGATTGCAGGAGGTATTATTGTATAAATGTATATTGGAGGTAGACATTCCAACACTGGCCATGGGGAAAAGGTTCAAAACCTATTTTTTTGGGAGGGGGGACATCTTCCTAGTTGTCGAGTCCTTTTTCTGAGAAACAACCATGCAGGACATCGATTTCTCTCTTTTCCCCTTGCCGACATTGCCAATCTCTCCTCCTCCCACCCAGAAAGCATGGATTTTATAAATAATCTTGCAGTGACAAGCCTTGATATGAAGCTGATACCACGCAAGAGTGTGCTCGCTCCTCTTTTGACAGTGCGGCATTAATAACAGGCTGCATTGTGCGTCCTGCCATTTTTATTTTATTTTATTTTATTTTATTTTAAAAGCATGATCATTCTAATAAAGGGCATCGACTTAATTACAGGTCTGCTTAATTACACCTCTGTGGAAGCTCGTTTGCTCAGGAGGGCCTGTAATACAGTGCCATGCCAGTTTTGGCATCTCGCTCGACTTTTTCACATCTGTGGGGTCCCTCCTCCCTACCCCATACACGTTTTTTTTGGGGGGGAGTTAAAGAGTTTTAGAAAAGTTTTCCAGTTCTCCTGGTTCTGTTTTCTTCCAAATCTCTTGGGAGAATGACAGGATATAAACCAAGTAAGTAAATAAATAAATAAAAACAAGTTCAGTAATAATCACTTTAGAATTGCAGTGCTGGAAAGGGACCCCTAAGGGTCATCCAGTCCAGCCCCTGTCAAGGAGGCACAGAGTGAGAATCGAACTCTCAACCTATACCGAATTTTTCCGTGTATAAAATGCCCCCATGTATAAGATACCCCCACTTTTCTAATCTAAAATTAAGAAATCTAAGTAGGGCTTAGCAAGTGTAGGGGGAAAGGGATCAAAGTGCTGCAGAATCACTTTGATCCCTGCTTTCTCCTCCCCTTTTCTCTCTCCTCAGCTTACTTCTAAGACGACCCTCAATTTTTAGTCTAAAGATTTTAGACAAAAGTATAGTCTTATGCATGGAAAAATGTGGTATATATTCCACGGCAGCCTTGCTTAAATGACAAGGCTCTGAATGGAAGCATCTTTGCCTGCCTCCAGACAGGTAACAAAGAAAGTTGACGCCCTCTGGAACTCTCTGCCAAGAGGGGCCAGGATATGAAATTCGGGGGTGGGTGGGTGGAGAGACTGAGAATTAACCTCTGTGGTAACAGCTAAAGGAAGTTGAATCAAATATATTCAAAGGTAGTGTTTCCCTGTAGAAGGTGGGTGATTGATCGCACAAAGCAGAGGATCTTCCAGACGTTGTTGGAGTGCAAGTCCCATCACCCCCAGACCACCCAACCCAGTGGCGAGGAGTGTTGGGACATGTGGTCCGATGACACCTGGGGGTCTTATCTTGCCCAGCAGAAAGCCTAGGAAATCCAGCAGATTAGATGAGACTTGAAAGGCCAATTTAGGAAGAAAAACCGATGTCTGTAAAACAATGAGATTATAAACAAGAGGCGCAAACCAAGGCAGTTATTAAACTTCTTAACTGTTATAGCAGTATGACAGTCTTATCTTGCAGAAAGCCTAGGAAATCCAGCAGATTAGATGAGACTTGAAAGGCCAATTTAGGAAGAAAAACCGATGTCTGTAAAACAATGAGATTATAAACAAGAGGCGCAAACCAAACCAAGGATTAAACTTCTTAACTGTTATAGCAGTATGACAGCAGAAAAAATGCCCTTGAGAGGTGGCGAGCTCTCCAGGGCTGGAGGCCTTCAAGAGAACGTTGGACCACCCATCTGTCCGATCTGCTTGGATTTGGAGACCTGCCTTGAGCGGGGGGGGGGGTTGGGTTCACTTTGGAAAATCTGAATCCGACGCCAACACTCTCTTTCTGTTTTGTTTGCAGCCATGGAAGGTGTGCCTTTTATGATCTCCGAGAAGTTCGCCTGTGCTTCTGAAGGGGTGAGTCTCCATCTCTTGCTTCATCACTTTCCAAACTTCTTTATTTCTCTCTTATTCCAAATTTGTCCAGCTTTTCCATGGAACGCCCACCCGTACCTGCAGGAAGGACCTTTTTTTGGGGGGGGGGTCAGTTTCTCCGCGACACCAAAGTTCAAGAGGCCGGAACTCCTGGTACCTTTTCAAACTGTGGGGCAACTCAGAGGGGTTGTTAGTGGAGCCTCCGTTGACAGAAGTGACGTATCTGTGAGTTCAAGGTAAAGGGGCAAGCTGGAAGGGGCACCAAGATTGGATTGGCCAATTGATGAATTTTCAAGGTCCTTTTGTGTGGGTGGGACAGGAAGCCGGAGTAAGGCAGAACATCAGGAAAAACTTCTCAACTGTTAGAGCAGTACGACAATGGAACTCGTGACTTTGGGAGGCGGTGAGCGCTCCAACGCTGGAGGCCTTCCATAGGAAATCAAGAGAACCATTGAACAGACCTGCTTTGATTTAGATTCCTGCGTTGAGCAGGGGGTTGGACTTGATGGCCTTAAGAGACCCCTTCCAACTCCATTATTCTACGATTCTGCGGGGGTATTGTAAACTCCGCTGGCTGGATTTTTCTATTTCTCATGCGCTTCCATGAACAACAGCCCAGAATCCCAACTTTGGACCTCATCGGACTTTGGATTCCAGGATTCCATATCATTGACCTAGAACAATTAAAGAGGAATGGAACTGGAAGAAGTATGTAATGTAGATGCAAGACTAAGCGGTACTTTTATGAGCCACTAATAAAAATGTAATGAAGATGCCCTGTGAATGCTAACTTCTCTTGCAACGTAGACTAAAAGTTTCCCACATGCACGCGCTCCTCCTCGGCTGAACGCGACCCGACATGATTCCTATTTCTGGAAGCTGAATTAGGTCTTGAAAAATGCAAGCTATTCCATCTCCGAGAAGTTCGCCTGTGCTTCTGAAGGGGTGAGTCTCCATCTCTTGCTTCATCACTATCCAAACTTCTTTATTTCTCTCTTATTCCAAATTTGTCCAGCTTTTCCATGGAACGCCCACCCGTACCTGCAGGAAGGACCTTTTTTTGGGGGGGGGGTCAGTTTCTCCGCGACACCAAAGTTCAAGAGGCCGGAACTCCTGGTACCTTTTCAAACTGTGGGGCAACTCAGAGGGGTTGTTAGTGGAGCCTCCGTTGACAGAAGTGACGTATCTGTGAGTTCAAGGTAAAGGGGCAAGCTGGAAGGGGCACCAAGATTGGATTGGCCAATTGATGAATTTTCAAGGTCCTTTTGTGTGGGTGGGACAGGAAGCCGGAGTAAGGCAGAACATCAGGAAAAACTTCTCAACTGTTAGAGCAGTACGACAATGGAACTCGTGACTTTGGGAGGCGGTGAGCGCTCCAACGCTGGAGGCCTTCCATAGGAAATCAAGAGAACCATTGAACAGACCTGCTTTGATTTAGATTCCTGCGTTGAGCAGGGGGTTGGACTTGATGGCCTTAAGAGACCCCTTCCAACTCCATTATTCTACGATTCTGCGGGGGTATTGTAAACTCCGCTGGCTGGATTTTGCTATTTCTCACGCGCTTCCGTGAACAACAGCCAAGAATCCCAACTTTGGACCTCATTGGACTTTGGATTCCCGGATTCCGTATCATTGACCTAGAACAATTAAAGAGGAATGGAACTGGAAGAAGTATATAATGTAGATGCAAGACTAGGCGGTACTTTTATGAGCCACTAATAAAAATGTAATGAAGATGCCCTGTGAATGCTAACTTCTCTTGCAACGTAGACTAAAAGTTTCCCACATGCACGCGCTCCTCCTCGGCTGAACGCGACCCGACATGATTCCTATTTCTGGAAGCTGAATTAGGTCTTGAAAAATGCAAGCTATTCCACGCACGGAGCGCCCGAGTAACTTTAGCTGACCCAACTCTGCTCCGTTGCCGTGGCAACGCTGGCCCGCCTCCAGCTGCTGGGGTGAGGGAGGCCTGGCCGGCCCTGTTTACCAATTC